CAGGCCTGAGGGTCTTTGGGAACCAGAGACATTCTTAGATGGCTCCACTATGACTGATATTCTGCTCTCTCTGTGGGGTTTGTATATTTTAAAATCTCAAATTTTAAAAATTTGTGATGTTTTTATTTTAATAATAACTTTTTATCTTTTTATAATGCTTGTTTTTATTCATTTGTTATTTTATTTAATTGTTGTACACCGCCCAGAGTTGCTTTGTGTGAGATGGGTGGCTATATAAATGTGACAATAAATAAAATAAAATAAAATAAAATAAAATAAAATGGTAGAAGAGCTCACAAGAATCACTGGAGCTAGCCTTTCCCTAAGATTATAAACTAGAGCAATAAATTCCCTGATTCATCATAATGGTGGTCCAAGAAACCTTTCTTCCCTGGCCCCTGATTTGTAAGATATTATTAGGCTATGAGAACAGAAGCTACCTAGAATATGCTTCAAGTTGTACCTAAGCAGCTAACATATATATGGGCTATGTCATGCCAACCTCCTAGGCAAGAAGGATTTGGATAGAAACTGGGAAGTTAACCTATAGTCATGTTAATTTTAGTTAGGGAATAACCCTAGGGGTTATTCCTGCTCAGTCCCCCTGTCTAAAGTTGCAGTGATCCAGATGGGGGATTGGTTCTTGAAACTAAACATTTAGTTCCCACAAAATCCCACAAAAACAATAATAAGTCCAGCAATCTTGTCTTTATCCTCATCCTCAAATGCTTGTTACTCTGGAAATAATTATTGCAAGAAATGTGTAATTATATATGAAGATATGGTGCATCCAGGTTCCAGAAATAGATTAAAAACACAGCAAGAATGATCTGGTGAAGGCCGAAATCTACCATGGTTGATGTATTTACCTATTACTGGAAGAATAAAAAGCAATCTTAAGAAAGAAGGAGGGTTTTTAAGGCAAATGATACAGAAGGAACATTTTATCATATATGATGGCCACGTAAAAAAACTTAAAAGTACTAGAAGAAATACAGTACATAGCATTATTCAAAAAAACTTAAAAACAAAGTTTGAATTGAACTGAGTTTTTTTTTTCTTTTCCTTTTCCCTTTGCGTCAGGCCTGCACAATGATGGAAGAGAAAGGGTCACACTGATAAAGTAAAAATAATCACAGACCACTAAGGAACGGCACACCGGGACACTGATCAGCTGTTCGATAGCTAGCGGAGCAGCAGCAGCAGCGAGGCCTGGGGGCACTGGAGTTGCTGGGCAGTGTGACTTTCAGGGCAGCGGCAAGGTTTGGCAGTGGTGAGTTTTTTAAGGCAGGCCACACGCTGTGTTGTGCATGCCTGCTTTGCATGACTATGTGCATCTGCCTTTGCAACAATGACAAATAGTGATATCAATATTAATTTCATGCTTATATACAGATTTATAGTTATTTCTTAAGATGACATGAGGAGCTTAGCTCTATACATTTAATAATTGATGAAATAATTTGAAATGTTACAATAATTGTAAACTATTTACTATTAACTGATATTTTATTATTTAGCACTATGTCGCTTTCAATCTTTTTTTCTTTTATGGAGCTATTTATTATGTTCCATTAAACATTTTAATAAATATATTATTTTTTAAAAAAGAAATATCCAACCCCTTTTCAACTTCAGTTTCTTAATTGACTGTAGGGCAGCTTTAACAATGTGTTGCTATTTAGTTGAATCCACTCTTCCTTCCACCCACACAATATTTCCTGTGCCACTGGCTGCTACCCAGTATCAAGCATCACTGAGCTAACCCCATGCACATGCAAAAACATTTCTTTTCTTCAAACACTTCACCCAATTTTCTCCAGATGTATCTTCTGTGTTTGTGGCAAATCTGTTTAATTTTTGTTTCATGTCTACTGCATACCTGCATACTTCAGGTTTTTTAAAAAAAATAAGCTTTCTTATGACAACTGAAATAAAAACTTTCCCATGCAGATCATTGTTTTATATGTCAGCTAAGCTTTTCAGCATTTGTAGTGATCTGTGGATTTTGTTTTATAAATGTGACCACTTTGGGAGCAGGTCTAACAGAGACTTTTCTTCCAGATCTTGCCTTGATTTCATTTCTTCACAACGCTTCTCACAATTGAAATTCCCAGCTGGAGGCATTAGAGTGTTTTATAGCCTTCCCTGACTTTGTAACAGTGAATTATCTTTATTTCCAAATGTTCAGAGAGCTACTTAGAGGAGCCCATGGTTGTTGAAAGTAGAACAACAATCACAATCTGAGAGGTCACAGTAAGAAAATTTCTGGGCTAAAAGAGTTCTGCAGGGAAGAATGGTAAAAATATGCAAAATCAAGAACAGAAAGATTTAGATATGTGAAGGACAAGTTTTGTCAGATTAATTTGCTTTCATTTTTGATTAGGTAACCCCCATAACCAATTGTGGGAATGCTGTAGACATAATGTACCTTCAGTGAAGAAAAGTTGCCCATGACATTTTGGTTTGCACACTAGTTACAATTAAGTGGCCAGCAAATCATGCTCAGAGAACATGGTTCCTCTTCAAGCTGGAGGGAAATATCAAGTAGGGTTTACAAGATTCAATCTGAGTTCTCTTCAATATTTTGTATTAATGATTTGGATGAATAGATGAAAGGAATACTTGTCAAATCTGCAAGTAAAATAAAATTAGGTGAAGCTAATACCCTAGAAGATGCAAATTAAAAAAAAGAATGAAATTTAACAGAGACAAATCAAAAGTACTGTATGTCACTGAGGAAAGAGTAAAACACAAAGGTATTGGATGGGAGATTCCTCACTCAGTAATAATACCTGCAGAAAAGTTATTGGAATAGTCATTGATTGAAAATTGAATATGAGTCAGCAGTGTGATGTGGTTGCAAAAATGGAAATGTACTTTTAGACTGCCTCAACATAACTATAGTTTTCAAAAAAAAAAAAAAAGGAAGGGTTGGTTAACAGGTAAAGGCAAGAGGGCAGCGTTACTTTGCTTCTGTCTTCTAAACAAATGAGAATTGTGTTCAAATGGACTTAAGCAGAACAAGTGACTCAACGAGAAAGTGGCAGCCCATGGTAAATAAAGAGATAGTAAGTGGTAGTGATTACTAAACCCAAATGCCAATTCCATCAGAGGACATTTAAAAAAAAGCATTGTTTGCAGGAACCAGCATGTGTTCATAAAGAGCAAGTGATGCTCTAAGTACAGTAAGTAACTTTTTTGGTAGAGCATCAGTTTTGCTGAAATCTACTGTACTGAGACTCAACAAAACATATAATAATATCAGTAGAGAATATTTGACCACTGGCCAAATAAATGGTGCTGTCAAATTGCTATCCAGGAGTCTGTCCACATCTGGATGGGGAGGAACAGGTTAAGACTTAATCCCAGCAAGATGGAGTGGTTTGGGGTTTGAAAGCTTACCAATTCCGGTGAGATTCCGTTGTTAGTTCTCAGTATGATTGCACTCCCCCGAACAGAGGTTCACAACTGGGATCATCTTGGACTCACAGCTCATAATGTGTGTCAGTTTTTACTTTTCCTAGATAAGAAGGCATTGCAACACACTCTAGATGGGGCTGCCCTTATCTGCCCATCCCACTAGGTCGGATAGAATGAGTATCAAATGTTGCCATCCAGTGGGACCTAGGAAATGTGTCTTTTCCATAGCAGTCCCTGCCCTATGGAACACCCTTCCCCTTCAGATCCAGCAGGCCCTCACCCACTGGAAAGCTATTAAGAGCTGGCTTTCCCCTCAAGCACTGGGATAGCAAGATGGGACTATATAGCTGGATGGATGTACTGTAGTTGGATTGGATGCCTGGTTTCTTGTATTGCTGTATTTTTTAATTATTATTATTATTGTTGTTGGCCACCCAGAGCTGTCTCACAAGATGGGAGGCCATATAAATCTTTTAGAACAAACAAACAAGAGCATCCAGAATACAGAAGCTCACATACACCCATGTAACCACTCTGCTCCAAGAGCTGCACTGGTTTTTTGGTGCTGATTGTCACATTTAAAACCCTACATGATTCAGTGCCTCAGTATCTGCAGAATCTCAGTAACATTTGCCTTCCCAAAAAGATGGAGTAGGGCAGGCTCTTTATGTGTGACCTCAATCAGGCACTGCCATCTTCAGAGACCACGGAAGCCTGGTTTCTCAGTTGCTACCCCCCCTTATATGGAATCGTATCTCCCACAACACTGGAACAGCCCCCTCCTTCTAACTTTCAGGAAATTAGTGAACTCTTTTGAATATACGTTTTGGTTTTATGTTATTCTAATGTAGGGTTTTGTTTTTAAATTTGATTTGTATTGTTTTAAATCCCAGTTATGTATTGGGCAATTGTACACCACTCAGAGTACAATGCTGGTTGGAACAACCTATAAATAAATAAATAAATAAATAAATAAATAAATAAATGAATATGGCAAAATGTGATCTGGACTATGCAGCTATTAGGTGGATAAAATACAAGGAAGCAGGCTTTGATTGGACATTAGGAAAAATTCCTAACAATAAGAGCAGTTCAACAATGAAACAGCCTGCCTCTGGAGGAGGTGGAATCTGGTATTTACAGAGAGGCTAAACCTTTTTTTTGTCACGATGCTGTTGTAGTGAATTGTGCAGGAGGGTTGACTCGATTATCTGCAAGATCCCTTCCAATCCTTCCATTCTCTGATTCAAAACAGAACTTTCTGGGTAACAGTGTTTTCCACTGTTGGAGACAGTAGTTGACAAAAAAGTATAATAATAAATTTCTAACAATAATATGACAGAGCTACACAATTGTTTGATCCATTTTATTCTCTTTCAAGATGCATTCTACCTGCTACTGAATTGAAGCTACGGTTCTTTGAGAGCTCCTGCTGTTTTCCGCGGACTTTCCTCCCTCCTCTTTAGAAGGCCCCTCCTAAGGGCAGCCTCACCAAGCTACCTACCCATCCCGGACCTTAATTGTCAAGGGCGCCTACGGGCGACCAACCAACAGAGCCGCGCCTAAAAGTGATTGAGCCACCGAAGGCAGCAGCGACCCGAACGCTGCCGCTCCAAGGGCGCGGTCCTGCCTTCCCGCTCTACTGCCCACGCGGGCGTGGCCGGAGGTGGTAAGGCGAGATCTTTTCTGCGGGGAGCCTCCAGTAACGGAGCTCACTTGCTTCCTCGTTGCACCGCTGACTGATTGCGCCCTCGACGACGCCATGCCCAAGTGCCCTCGTTGTCAGAAGGAGGTCTATTTCGGTAAGGGAGCTCTTCCTCGCTCCGGGGCACACAGCCAGGGTGGAGAAAGCAAAGAGGGGCCGCTGTCTGGAACCAGTTCCGAGAAACACTTCAGAGACCAGGATTTGGGTCTCTTCTGGGGTCAGGGCAGAAGCTCCAGAAAGGGCTTTTCTCCGGGTCCAGCGTTACGCGTGCTAGGTAACAGCCAAGGCTGATTCAAGACGGAGATTCTCGGCGGCCCTCCCGTCCTGGTCCCCCTCTCTCGAGGCAAAGTTGGTAATGGCTGAAAACCGGGCTTGGGGCGCTGGAAGGGTCCGAGAGCGTCCCAGATCCTCCGATGTGTGGGGCTGCCCTGGGAGCCCGCTGTGGGAAGACAGACAGACAGACAGACAATAGTTTGACGCAGGAGGAGGGAAGAGGTTTGGAGTACTCTCAATTTGTCTAAACTGCTTTGCGTGCTTCCAGCTTCTCCTCCAGGAATGCTTTCAGTTGCAACTCTATCATTTTGAGCTTGATGAGATGTTATCCCAAACTGAAATTGTAAAATGACAGAGGAGAACTCTGCCTTAGGGGAAGTGAAACATTCTTGCAGATGGGCAAGAAACTTGTTCATATACATATGTGCTAAATGAGCCATTCAAAGAGAAAACTGGAGAGTTTCTCAGCCCTGGAGAATTGGTGACAAAGTGCCAAGCTAGGTAGACCAATGTTCTCATAGGATGCAGGGTGAAACAGAACACCAATCTGAGTTTAGTGGTGTAGTGTAAAAAAAATGTAAGAGGATACAGTACTTAGTGGATTTTGTTCCCAAATAAGACTGCAAAAATTCACTTGCAGCCACTAGGATTTACCTATGTTCTTTTTTCAATGTCCAGTTTGATTTTATTAATATAGACTGTAAAAAGTAGTAGTCTGCTTTTTGTGGAAATCGTTAAAAGGATAATTTTAGCAACTCATGTTTTATGCAAAACATCTCCAGTCACAGACTTGGCTGAACAAACTTTCCCTACTCCAGTGCTGTCCAGGAATACCGGATCTACAGCTTCCAGAATTCCGTGTTACCTTGCTGTCTGAGCATTCTGGGAGTTGTAGTATCAGTTCATGCAGAAGGTGCCAGACTTTGGGAGGTGGGGGGTGGGTGGGTTCTAAATATGGGTTGCAAGCTTTCTATCCAAGGATAGAAGAAGCCAAGTTTGAGGGTTGGAAAACAGTGTCCTTTGATTGGATCTAGAGTCCAGTTGGGGCTATAAACTCGTTACCATGAAAAAAATGAAGTATATCATGGTTTATGCTCGATGATCACTTTATAAACATATTTCCCTGTATTACTGTATGGAGCAGTCAGATGATACAAAATTCACTGAAGCCAATAAGAACCAGTACTAAAATAGCATAATCAACTGCTCTGGGAGATACTCCAAGGGAGAGCATATGCCAGAGGGTATACAGGAAACTTTAGCCCTGAGAAAGACAAAAGGACAGAAAATAAGAAGAAATGCTAGTTGGCAGTTGCTCTCTCCTGAGTTATAAATTCCAGGCTTCCTTAGTTTCTACCAGCAGGAGAAGGGATACACTATTATGATTCAGATTTTTCATGCTCAAAATATAGGTGAATAAATGAGTTAAGCTTGCAGATTTCATAATGCATAGAATACCCTAGATTCTAAGGACAGGAACAAAGGTTCTTCACTTATTTAATTAATTTACATACATGATGCAGTGCTGTAAATTAGGCAACCAGAGATGTAAGAAGTTTAATAAAAAACGAAAAGACACTAATAATGGCTAATGCTACCTTTTGTTCACACAGTGCTTTTGATTTCAACTTCTTAGTTGTTTGCTTAAGGTGTAAAGCTAAGGTTTGCTTAAGGTGTAAAGCATAACAAACATCCAGCAATGCAGTTCTTGTTTTTAAAAAAAATTATGCAAGGGTAATTAAGTAGGAGGAATACCAACAACTGAAGAAGAGGAAAGCAAGTTAAACGGAATGATTAAAATCAACACAAAGGCTTTCCAAATGTTGTTAATAGCAAACATGGAATGAGTAATTCTCCCCTGACACCATAAGCATTGGCTAATGGCTGCAGTTCCTTCCTGAGCTGACTTGGTCCATTCCATACTAGCTATTTAGTTTTGTTTTTTTAACTCTCTTGCTAGGGGTAAAAAATCCCAAAGACTATCCTTGTCACAATGGAAAAAGCAGGACATTTTTTATGTTAAGCATTTTGTTTAATCTCTGTAAGAAAATTTAAACTGAGCTGGAGTGTGGTACAATGCATGGATACCCATATGAATTATCATGTAAAGAAAAGGGTTGTAAAAATAATCCAATTCTTTCTCCAGACATTCAAGGCTACATATTTATTACTGTTCTTTGGATCATCAAATTGTTGTGGCAGTATACCATGATTGTCTTCAATGTCCAGTCAAGCCATGTGTGAACTGAGCAAGCAGAACTGAGATAATGTTGAGTTGCCTGTTGTGCAGATAAACACGCTCAACTGAAGGAGTTACATCTACATGATCAGTTCTCAAATATCTATGAAAATGAATATATCAAAATAAACTCTTCTGGCTAGTTCCAGACATCTATGAAAGCACATTTCAGGAATCTGTGAAAGTACATGTAAATGTACCTTTCTCACTATAAAGAGCAAGGTTGTTCTTCATCTCTTAAACCAGTTTGGAACAGATAAGCAGTGTTTTGGCAGCTTTCAAAACCATCTATCTGCAATTGTCCAGTCCACACAGTGGTATTTCTATTTTAGAAACAAAATTATCTTAATATACAAACAATGATGGGAAAATTTGAATCCTTGAAAATGGTTGCAATCCTGAGGCATCTGAAGAAAAGGAGACATTTCTCCATCCTTCAAGGGACCCATAAGTCATTCAGAATTCAAAAACCAGTATCACTCTCTTCCCCCCCACCTTTCTCTTTTTAATATATAAGATACCAAGCAGGGCTTCTCCTGCAGTAATTTTGGGGTATTTATTATTTTTAAAAATCTATTTTCAGCTTTGCTTTAATTTTTGTTTTGTTTGGTTACTTGGAGAGTCTTAGACTAAATTGAGACAAAAATCAACTTAGTCATCTTCTTGTCTTACCCAGCAATTTTTTCTATGGCAACTGTTATCCTGTGACTGCAATAAAAGAGGAACTGAATTGTACACAGATTTTTAAAAGGCTTAGAACTACTTTTTCTATTTGAAGCACAGTAGATACATTAGAAATATCGTTATCTATAATGAACAGTGTTATAGAAATACTTTAAATACATAAGTCCCATTGATAGTATTTCTGCTCAAAGAATCTAACCAAAGTTTCTTTCTACATGAATGGTTTAAGCATCCTCAGAATTCCCTTTCACACTAAATGTATTAGTTGGTTATCCAATTGATGCTGCAACTTCCAGGAAATAATTGATCTGTTCTTTCTCTTTGCTCCCTTTTTTCATGCCATAGATTTTTTTTCTCCTCAGAATAGTGTTCTACTTAACATCATTCACAGGTCAAGATATCTCAGAATGCTCTTCCTTTCCTGGAGCAAGGTCCTTCTATGATTATAGGCCTTATGACTTCATTACTTCAGACTCATCTTCTCCATAGTAGTCAGAGTTATTTCTCAACTAGCATGGACTGTCAACTTTCTTTCTTTGCCCACCCACCATGTAGCAGTCAGCTGGCTTTTGATTACTATTAACTCATTTTCTTCCCAGAACATTTCCATTCAGAATACTCCACATTTCATGACATAGTCATCTTACTAGCAACTAAATGACTTCTGTGCTGTTATTTACAGCAGATAGATGATGGGCCGGGGCTATGAGAAATGGGGTTTTTAAAATTTTCTTTCTGTGGAGGGGTTGGTGACTGTGCATGCACATACTGCCTGCCTGCCTGCCTGCCTGC